TCTTGAAAGCCTCAAATACTTCAGACTTATATTTCAGAAAGTATACCCATACCTTTCTGGAGTGATCATCGATAAAAGTCACAAAGTATTGCTTCCCACTAATGGATGGAACAGATGTTGGACCCCAAACATCAGAGTGAACAAGCTCGAGTCTTTCCTTCTTTGGGGTTCTTCCACTTGTCTGAAAGTTAACTCGTTTTTGTTTTCCAAGTATACAGTCTTCACACATGTCAATTTCTACTGACTGAAGACCTGGTAGCTTACCGTTTGAGTGCATGATTTTCATCCCTTTCTCACTCATATGGCCTAGTCTCTAGTGCCATAGATTGGGATTTTCATTTGCTGCAACTGCAATCAGATGACATGCTTCTGCTATTTTATAAAGAGTACTACTCTTTTTGTCACGAGCAATTACCATTGTACCCTTTGAAATCTTCCAGTTATCACCGTGGAAGACTGTTGTGTAGCCTTCACTGGCCAATTGGCTTACTGAGATTAAGTTCTTTATCAGGTCGGGAATATGTTTGACATTTTTCAATTCCCATACAGACTCGTTCAACTTAACCTTCACTACACCTTTACCCACAATCTCACATGATTGGTCGTTACCAAGGTAAACTTTACCAAAGTTTCCGGGAACATAGTTTTTGAAGAATTCTCTCTGCGAAGTGGCATGAAAAGATGCTCCAAAGTCTAACACCCAAGACTTTTCCTTGCTCTCTAAAGAACATATCAACGCCTCATCTCCTCCAGAGGTGGAAGCAACATTTGCCTCGTCTTTCGCCTCCTGATTCTTTCGTGCATTCTTGCACTGATTCTTGTAGTGCCCGAACTTCCCACAATTCCAACACTCGATTGCCTTCGATTTGTGGGAACTATGATGACTTCTGGATTTGGACCTCCTGTCCTTTGATTTACCACGTCCATTTCCTCTTATTGAATTTCTTCCTCTTGACTCTGTATGCAATACTGAAGAGGTTGATGATTCTCCTGACTCTCTTCGTCAGATTTCTTCATTGAGAATCAGATCACGAACGTCATTGAATTTCAACTTAGTGTCTCCCGTCGAACTACTCACAGTTATGACAGTAGTCTTCCAACTTTCTGGTAGAGAGGACAAAAGTGTTAATGCTCGTACCTGATCATCGAATTCAATCTCAACTGAACTCAATTGGGTTAGGACTGTATTGAGCTCATTTATGTGGTGCGTTACTGATGCGCCTTCTGTCATCCGAAGGTTGAATAACCGCTTCACCAAATAAACTTTATTTGAAGCAGACGACTTTTCATACATGTCGGAAAGAGCCTTCATAAGATCCGTCGTGGTCTTTTCTTTTGCAATGTTGAAAGCAACATTACGGGATAACGTCAATCAGATGACTCCAAGGACTTGTATATCGAGAAGATTCCATTCGTCCTCTTTCATGCCCTCTGGCTTTGTTCCTGTGAGAGGTTGATACAGTTTTTTCTGATACAGATAATCCTCGATCTGCATCTTCCAAAAGCCAAAGTCTGTACCATCAAACTTTTCAATTTTCACCTTTCTTTCATCTGCGGCCATCACTCCCACTCAAATCTGACTTCTCCTCAGAATCGTTTCTGACAATTTTTGTATACCACTGTGTTTAGAACACGTCTGTGAACAAATTTGTAATGCTGACAAATTTTTCACTATTCACTATTCATTATTCATTATTCACGTGAACAGTACTTGCGAGTTTACTATTCGTGTGAACGGTACAGATTGCAAAATTTTACTATTCATGTGAACAGTACCTCACAAAAATTGTAGAATTTTGAACCAAATCTGATACCAGTTGTTGAGAAAATTACGCTGAGCGTTTTTGTAACGTCAGATTTGTGGAAGTGAAAAATAAATGTGGAATATTGCACACACAAATTGATAATAGAGTTCGGCCAATAATGCCTACGTCTCCAGACTACTGCAGATATTTTACTAAAGAAAGGGAATACACTCGGTGTTTACAAAACACTCAAAAATGACTCACAACCATTCACAACCCGTAACCCAATTATACCCAGAAACTAAACTATTTTCTCTGTTTTTGCTCTCTGAATATTTTCAGTTTTTCTACATATTTTGCCTTTCATTGTTTCCTTTATATATAGGCAAATGAAACGCTCAATTTTCAAAAACGAGTTAGGCACCGAATTTTCAAAACGCGTTAGGCACCGAATTTTTAAATTGTAAGCATTTTCCTTTCTTCTTTGCATGTGCTTTTTTTTTTTTTCGACTTTTCAACATAACTAAGGAACAAGCTAAGATTAAGTGGTTCCCCCTCTTGCTGATCAGTTAAAATTGGATACCAATTGCGTTGTTTGATAACTTTTGACTGTTGCAGCTTATGGAGGTATTATTAGAGACTGTGAAGGACAGGTTGTGGCTGATTTCTATAATTATTTGGCTCAATGCTCTCCCCTGGAAGCAGAATTGTGGAGAATCTGCTATGGAGTGCAACTGCTTCTGCAAAAAGGAATTCATGCTATCTAGATTAAGACCAATTCTCGAGTAGCTTTAGACTCAATTTTACAACCTAAGATAGCTCTTACCCTTTATTTCATCTGATTTATAAAACTAGGAATACCCTTAAACTTATAAAGTTTATGAAGTTAGGCCGTATATATAAGAAAGCTAATCAATATACTAATAGATTAGTTAAAATAGGACTTGAGTCTCCTTTTTCCTTTTTAGTTTGATTCAGTCCCTTGTGATTTGTATCTTTTTTTATGTTTAGATATTTGTGGTATGTGAAACCTTAGATCCACTATTTAGTTTATTTTTTATTCTAAGTGTTTAGCTCTCTTAAATAGCAAACAAAAATAACCTATTTTTATCAAGTTAATTTCTTTTTAAAAAAATTATAAAATTAAATTAATCTATTTTGATAAGTTTGAAAAATTCTCTCTTGAAATCAAATCAACTTATAAGTACTCCTCTTCATCATTCAATGATATACTAGGTTGAAATTTTCATACGATAGATTATTAATGACTGGACAAAGATCTAAAATAATAATTGAAGCAAACTTTGACACTCTTTAATTGGAAGAGGGATATTTTCTTAGTATAAATAAAGGTTGATTTGTGACAATGAATACTTCATTTTACTATTTTTTTAATTCTAAAACAATTATCATTAAAAGTTGATCCAAAGGTTTTATGTACGACGAGGCTTACAGGTGCAAGACACCTCTACACAACCTTGAGAAATTTAATCTATAGGTGTAAAAAAGAAAAGGAGAAAATGTGGGGTATTTATTTGGCAATGAAATTGCAATGGTTGTGCTTGATAATTTGCCACACAATCGTGCTATTTGCCATTTGGACCAAAATTCCAAGCATTACACTTCAATGTCGTGGCTTGACTACAAAAGTTTCATGCCAGTGAACCACATAAAGACAGAAACGATGGCGCTCATTAAGGAGGTCCAAGTGCGCTTTGTTTTGTGTGCCAACATACTTGTCAAAGTAGTCTTTTTAATGTGTGCCATAAGATAATAAATAATCTATTATTAAAAATTAGAGTATTTAATGTTGTTCATATAAAAAACCTTAGTTCTCAGATTAATTAATTATTAATAATAAATTTTATTGAAAAAATATTTATTATACTTTTATAGTTTTAATATAATATTCACATAAATTAGTATTATAATATTCATTTATTACTTTTTCAAGTATTTTTATTAGTTATTACCTGTCTAAAAGTGATTTTATCAAAATCATTTAACTTAAAAACTCATTTTAACTAGAATAATTTTTATTAAATCAAAATCAACAATGTGAAAAAAAAAAACACAACGGAGGAGTTTAGTAAAATATTTTCTTAATTAAATTTTTAGTCGAATAAAATTTTATAATTTTTTTTTTCAAACAACCTTTTTAAACAATAATATGTTTACAATATGTTTTTTTGTTTATTTTGCTTTTGGTTCGTTAAAATATTATTATTATTATTGTTTGGTTTCTCATTTTTAGGATAATAAATAAGGTGATGATATTTCTGAGAATCAAATAAAAAATGTGATATGTAAAGAGATGAAATATACATTTTTATAATATTTAGGTAGAATAAATAAATATGATAATAAATAAATTATGATAAAGAAAAATATATTACAAAAAGATTATTTTTAAAAAATTAAAAATAAAAATTGAAAACTTTATTTTTGTGCTGTTTTCAATTTTTTTAATGTTATTCTCATCGTTAATTAACGATATAACATTGTAAAAACTACTTGAAGTTATTAAAGTTTTTCTTTTTTTTGTCAAACAAGGCTAATGTTTTGGACATGTATTATGATAAAGGATGGTCTTTTTTTTTTCTTTCAATTTTAAGTATTTTTCCTCATCATATGGACCCAAAAAAAAATGTTATTCTCATCGTTGATTTTTAATATAACATTGTAAAGACCAATTGAAATTATTACAATGTATAAAAAAATTGAAATGACTACAACTTCTAAGGTGTAATGGATTATTTAGTATTGAGTTGTTTTACGTTGTCAATAATAAATTTATCATTATTTCTCTCTTTATTGACAACAAATAAGAAAAAGTTATTAAAATTATAATATTTATAAGGATGAAATTAATAATTCCCAGTTTTAAGTTTAACTATATTTAAATTAATAAATAATCAATCAGTATCTTTACCGATATAATATGTTCATTTTTAAAAATATTGATGTATGGGAAATATAAATTTATTTTATTGTAAACTTCTTACTCCATTAATATTTTTTCCATTTTCTTAACAGAGATAACAAAAATTTTAAAAAATTAAAGATATTTAATAAATATATTCAATATTACTTTAAAAATGATTTTAGGAAATTTATTAACAAAATTAGTGTAATCTTAAAACACCTTAAGTTAGAATAATGGTAAGACTTACTTGCAAACAAGTTAATAACCTCATAGAGTCAAAATATCACAGAAGATCCCCATAAACCCCACAAAAAGATGTTCATTCAATAATACATCATTCATTATATATTTATTAATTTAATATATAAGTCACCTGATCCTTATTTCTCATAATTGTTAATATTTTCCTGTAAAACGCATGAGAATTGGCGGGACAAAAAGAAATATTACATGAGTAGAAAACTTCATAGCAACCAAAAAGCATAACCACCTTCTCCACACTAAAACTGGAATGGTTGAAAACTTGGCAACCATACCAAGTGTCTTATTAACACCTGAATTAAAAACATGTCGACATTTTTTGGTCATTTTGTTTCCCCCCGCCTTGCATGCACTTGCGAGATGAAGCACATTTAAAATAAGCCAACATGTAGAAGTCAGTTTCCATCTAACCACTTTTTTCTTTTGATTTCATTGCAATTACAAATAGTAATTTAACCCTATCTGTATATAACATACAAGGAAATATAATATGCAGGAAGGACCTTGGTACACGGATACAACAGTCCTTGATACATAGCATGGACTGCTTAACATATCAAAACAGCCCAAGGAACACTACTTGTGTTAATGCATTCAGAGGGCAAAATACTATAAGTTGTATGGTACTGATGTGAGAATCTTGCGAATCCCTTCTTGAGTGCCAACTGGTTTGTTGGATAATCTACGCTTGTACCGTTTGAGAACAGATGCCAAATTTTCCTTTCCCTTGGGAAAAGCTACATCACCAGCTGCAGTACCTGTGCGGCCTTTCCGGCTAGAGATTGCCATCTCCACATCCTTGACCATCTCAAACACCATTGACGCAGTTGTGCATTTTCCCCGGCCTGGTTTCGCAGCAGGGGGCAGCATGCCATTGGTAGGAGGTGAGCTGGACTTTTGCTGGTGTGTCATGGGAACTTGAAGGCAAAAGCATGGTGATAAGGGACTACGAGGTTTGGAGAAAGCCAGGTCAATGACGCCCTGCTCATAAAGGGGAAAGAAATTGACAAATAAGACCGATGAAATGTAGAAAACTTTATAGAGTAGCTTTGACAAGGAAAGGCAGAGCTGTATCCTAGATAGCAGATTATGGCATGCAACAAGCAGTCATATTATAGTGCTTACTTAATGGATCTAAATTGATGAGCAATGAATGCATACAAATACCATATTGGAAGAAGATCTTCATGTAACCAACAACCAAAGGAAATACCACTTAAAGCTTTTTTAGAAGTTTGACGGGAGAAAGAAGAAAATGTTTTGAGGGTTAAGAAAGAGAGGAGAAGGGAGGCAGGTTAACAAGAAATCCTCCAATTTGAAAAACTTAAAAATATGAGTTTATGGGAGTTTTTCAAGGGTTCATTAAAACTCCTCCTCACATTTAAAAACTCTCAACCAAGAGTTACCATAAAATAAACCTTCCTTTATCTCCCTTCTCCTAAAATTAACTCCTAAACAAATTCTAAGAGAATAAACATCAAGTTCTCCATGAGGTATGAACAGTCATTTCCACAAATGGCATCCAATGTAGACTGTTGAGTACATGTGAAGTGAGCAACTGAAACTCAAACTTTAGGGTTATTAAAATTTACCTGAAGACGATTGAGGACATACGTGTATTTCCCCCAAAGCTCTGGCCGGCTCTCCATAAGTGAAAGGTCAAGAACACGGTGGATACACCACACCCCAAAGCTTATGATTAAGTCTGCTCTCCATACACATCCTTCCCCACAGTGAGGGATTGCGGACACAGAAAAATTAGTGCAATTTACCTCGTTATTTTTCATTGAAGAACATGACTTCCTATCAGAAGAAAAATAACGAGTTTCTCCCATACAATTGACCCGGCTCATATCCATGGTTTCAACTTCATAAATGAATTTCTCCCTGGCAGCAACACCATCAATCAGCTCTTCATCAGCTCCATCATTCTGTCTAAACAACCAATCTGACCCTTCCAATTTTGTGAGTTTCACAATACAATGTCTAAAAGATTGAAGAAGTTTGCCATCTATATCCACAAGCGAAGTAGTTTCTTGAGCAGTTGCACTAGGCTTAATTCTAACATCTGTTCCAGATTTATGGATTTTATCATCCAATCCAAACTGCTCAAAAGGTTGTCTGGACCAGAGGGATTCAGTACCAAAACCAGAACTCAACTGAGAAGGAAGTGCACCTCCTCCGTAGACTTTTGATGGAGAGAGTACATCAAACGCTAAAGGAGCTCCCGTCCTTGATCCAGAATTCAGATATAATGACGGTTCATAACGACTCCTATTTCCATATCCGCCAACAGAACCATCCCATGGAGCACTATTATCAGACATGTAAACATCCCTGCTAGGGATGGCATATCCTGAAATGTCTGGCAAGCTGTGGTATTTCTTAGTATTAACTGAACTGACTGCATTATCACCAGGTCCAGAAGAGGGAGAATCATAATAAGAGCTCTCAGATGCCAATTGAAAATTCTTAGAGACAGGCATCTTCTGGAACCCTGGGGGTTGGCCTAAACCTGAACCACTTTGCAACTTTTGGAATGCAACAGAACTCCTGTAGTTTGTATTACCCATGGAAGGGGATTTCATTGGAGAAAAATCCATTAGACTATTTAAGTTATCAGAATTTGTGTTTTTACCAACCTGACTAATATACGATGCTACCTGATAACCATGTACAGTAGCTGGCTGATAATCCCAGGCACCAGATGAAGGTAGATTGTGCACACTGGAATAGCGCCTTTCACCAGTATCAAGGAGATTGCGGCTGGAAGTAACATACTCATCTAAAAACTGGATGGGATTTGCTCGCAGTGAGGACGTACTCCTTCTAGGCCCATAGGAAGACTCTAAATTACTTTGAATCCTCCGCTGCTGGGGAGAGTCATATGGAACAGAGTTTATCAAAGTATCAGGAGCTCTACTTCCTACAGATGTTATGTATTCAGTATGTTCCTTTCCACATACATCTACTTTCTGCAAAGAACCAGTAAGTCTTGAATCTACTCCCAGTAAAACATCCAGTTTCTTGGCCTTGGCTTCCTGGGTAAATTGTCCATGGAAATCATAAAGTTGTCCCCAGAATTCATCAAGAATAGCTGCTAGTTGACGCCTTGCACCACGCCCTAAGCCTGCTAATCTTGAAAGACTTCCAATGCTATTCCCCCCATCATCACTTTTCCCACTTAGGCTCCTGAATGATGCTGGCCCATCTGATGCTGAAGATGGAACACTTACTGAGACCACTTTGGATGTTTCTTCAGTTTCCCATGAATCTCCATCATCATCATCCCTTTCGGCAATTGAATCTCCCTCAGCTTCTACAGTTTTCTCAATAGGGGCAATTGATTCTGTTATCAAAGTTTTGGCATCCCCCAATCTAACATCAGAAGTCTCATTAATTACAGCTGATAATGCCTCTGATTCTGAAGTGGAAGCTGATTCCTTAACAACAGAAGTTGGGGAGCAAGGAAATGATGTGATTGAATGAGTCTCCTTTACAGTAGTCACATGAATGTCAGGCTCCATGATAGTTTCAGGTAGATCATGACAAAAGCTTGTAACTGGTACATCTGAGTACTCAAGGGTCCTTGCAAGAGCCGGTGATGTTTCCATCACCTGTACAGATGTATCTCCATGATACCTTGTTTCAGTTAAATTTGTTTCCTCAGTATCTATTCGTGGATTTGGTATGGCCTGTGGCTTGTACCAGTTCCATGATTGGACACTTGAAGATTTTAAAGGTGTGGCGGCTAACCAAAGCATCAGACAGAATGATGCAAAAGCAGTGCAAAGAAGAACAAAATAAGAGAGAGATACACCATTCCCCACATTCCATCTTAAATTACCCACCCAATCACTACTGCCAAATATCATTTCTACAACAAAGACAATGTTCAAGCCAAGCATCCCAATAAATATGATCAATGCCATAAATTCCACAAATTGAGGGATCTTGTGCACCCCCATTATTGATCTAGAAGAAGCAATTCGAAAAAGGGGGATCACAGAAGATGGTAGTTGCAGAGCTACAACAACCTGAGTGAATATAAGTAGTTGATATATCCCTTCAGCTCCTGAACTCCAAACACAATAAAGGGCAGGCAGAACAGCAATTACTCTGATTGTAGCATAATGAAGCCAACCCGGAATATCCAATTTTAAGAAACCATGAACAACTACTTCTCCACCAAAACTCCAAGTTAATGCTGTGGCTTGATTTGAAAAAAACAGAATGAGTAAAAATGCAAGCATGGCTATTGGACTACGTAGCACCTGCAATAAGAATCTTGTAATTAGATATGTTCAGAATGTGTATGACAGATGTGACTTTGTAAGTTGTAACTAAAAATCCAGATATTGATCAATTATGGGTGGACACGAGACCTGTTCCATTGGCGATAATGCATCCTGAAAAGTAGCCAAAACAAGATCCATACTGTAGAACTCATTTGCTGCAGCATTCATAAGCACATTATTTACCAAATAAAGGCCACTGAAGACACATATGATGGCCAAAAAATGGTTATGACACAAAGCATCCTTAGAAATGGTTGTTGATCCCTGATGCCACTGCAAAAATGTAAATGAAGTCTCAAATGGACAAAACAAAAACCAATATGAAGTGGTACATTATATGGAAATCCTAGACTGGAATAGGGGACACCAAATGTAACCTGACCTAGCCCAGCCTAAGGAAAGGTTTGTGATAATGCCCCTGCCAATCAGCCATTCATATATTTATACTTGGGTAGTATTAATGATGGGTTGATATAGGGCCATAATTGCAGGCAAATTAAGTGTTAATGACGTGGCAGGCTAAATTGGAGGGATTCAGATATTCCAGTGGGGCATTTAATGAGTAAACTTTATATTCTGGATGATCAATCAATGTGTCCTTGAATTAGATGGACTGCATGCAGGTCAGTAACAGTCAAGATGTCCTCAGGGATCATCGGCTGAGGTATCATCACATGTTCAGAACCAAGGAATTCCCAGACGTCACACACCTCCCAGTCCCAAGCTTTGAAGAAGCATTGGGGCTTAAGACTGAGGTTTTAGCTTATGTATTCCCCGATGATACACAACACTATAAACACTATAAATGAATAAACAACATCTAAAGAGGACCACATTTTTCAATGATTTGTTACCTGAAATCTGCTTCCTTTTTAAAGTAAACCACACTGTTAGATCACTTTATGGTTCCAGAAACATGCTTGGGCACATGATTTATGGATTTTCAAAGTAAAACAGGACAAAAAATAAAAGTTGTATCTGCTTATTATGCTATTCTCAATATTTATTACATGAAGAGATGACTTTCATACAATTGGCCTTGTCCTTAAATTTTCAATATTAAATCTCTTGAATTTGAGTTTGGCCTAACTCAACCCCAAAAGTTTACTTATAAGATAAGGATTGTCTGTCAATTATGTAAGGGAGTGTATTTCTAGATGAATAATGGCGGCAATTATTGCTACTAAGCAAGACAAAATTAAGGAAATGCTATGCAAGACTACTACTGGAAAACACAGGATGTAAACATACATATGATATAAACTTGGAAACATGCTATGGATGTGGATGTTTCACCAAACATGCACAGGAGAAAAAATAGGAATACAGGAAATAATACCTGTACAATATTGGAATGAAGGTAGAAGTTGTGCGGCACAAAAGTTGCTCCTAAAAGACTCATTAGCACAAATGCACTCTCCCCACTCATCTTTGTTAGTATTCCATTGATGGATAATGGAATTTCTGGTTGATTAACGAGTATTCCAAATACAAAAGAAAGAAATACAAAACTAGACACAAACAGGCCTAGGATCTTCGCCCTCTCAATGTCCTACAAGGAGGAAGTATCATAAGTGTACTGTTGATCAACAGAGATTGATGAATAAGCAAATAATGATACTTACAAGAAGGACAACAAGAAGGAGATGGAAAACAGCACCAGTAGCAGTTAAAAAGACACAAGTGAACAAATCCCATCCAAAAAGAATATTTAATCCATATGCCATGCCCAATATCTAGCAACACAGGTATTTCATCAGGTCATGTCAAAACAAGTTCAGTAATGTATATAACATCTTATAGCACAGATAATTCATATTCCTTGCTATAAAGAGAACAGGAAATCTTGAATGTGAATCAAAATGAGAAATATTACCATGTTCAGGTCTAGCATAATTACTGAAAGTTCTGTTTGAACTCCAAGAAGCATGCATGTCCAATTGTCGTACTCATCACTGCAAATCTTTGGCACAAATAAAGTGAAGCTTTATAAGCAAGCAAAACACACTGATTAAGTTTATGCATGAAGTTCAATTAGAGTCTGTAGCTGAGTGGGCTTGTAGGAAAAAAGAAAAGCTAGAAACCAACAACAGACTCAATAATCAACACAACAAGCAAATTAAAGAAACGCCATGTAACCTTGACACACACATAACACAGTGTAGCTCATGTCCAGACACACAGCCTAATATCAGAACAAGATAGGTGGGAAAAGAAGGGATCATCTCATTTCTTTGTTTCTTATATTCTATAGTCTTCCATCCTATAAACTCCCAATGTGCAATTGCTTACTTGAGAGGGTGAAGGACAGACATTAAAAAAATCAACAAAATAAACAAATTGTTCAAAATTCATATAGAACCTTTTTTTTTGTTGAGGGGGGGGGGGAGGAATTTAGAGCACAGAAAATTTTAAAATTATATGATTACATCAACAGAATAATTATATAAATCACTGAGTGGAAGGTGTAATACCTGAGCAAGATCTTTTCCGGTGACTATAGCAATTTTTGCTGATATGTACTGACAGAATATTGCTGCAAAATTGAAGATAAGTGCAAAGGCCATCAGATCAAACCCAAATCGTGCACCTCCTTCAACAATTGCCACCCACTTTCCAGGGTCAACATATCCTAATGAAATCATAAGCATAGGTATAACAGCAGGAAGTGACCGGTGAAGAAAACTGGGAGCATGATTGCCGTTCAAAGTCTCTGCTTCCATTTTACTCTTAGTACCACCAAGATTAAGGCTACAGGCAAATTATGATACTTAGAGAAACACTTTCAATAAGGAAACTCAATGAGCCATAAATTATATTGCTGCTAGTTACGTATATCACTTGCAAAACATTCCATCTACTACAATTTACAAGTCATTCTAGCAGCTTCAAATATTAACAATAGTAAGCAAGATAACTGAAGGACAAAGGACTTTCAACTTGCAAGCCAATTGAAGACACAACGAAACAATTCAAACAACTAGCTTCTCCTTGTACGCCTGCAATCAGCCTACTATGATCCAAAATTAACTGTGATCATCAGATACAAATCTGACTTTGGTAAAGTCAACCTGCATACCATCCCAAAATCTCTTCATTACAACCTTAATAATAATTTCACTCATCTCCTGATCATGATTGAAAGTCAATCCAATTCATCCCAGACTTCTCAAATACCCTTTAAGACTCTCAATGCTGATCCAACAAAATATCCCTTGATAAATCAACCTCTTTGGTCTTCTCAAATCCTGCATTGAATTAGTTTAATGTAAACAACATAAGTACCATAATTGAAACAGCCAAAAACTAACACTTCCAAGCCACAATGAATACATGGTTATCATGATTGATTACCAAAATCGCCCGGAATGGAAATCACAGGGGAACTTCAAACACAAAAAAGGAAGCTCAATGATCATTTTTATTTTTAAATATTTACTTTTAAAAAAGACCCCCAAAAAAAAAAACGTAAATAAAAACCATCATGACAATCCTAAGGCAGAGTTTTTTTCTTTAAAAGAAAAACTTAGATCTTCATAGAAAATCAAGGACCCAACACAAAACAGCAGGCAATGATTCAGCTCCAAAAGGCAAAAACAAAAAATGTTGAAAAAAACGTTGAAGCTAGGTAAATCCCTATACCGCTTAGGGTCATGCAATGATGGATAGAAGCGAAAGCTTGAGTTGGATCTGACGCTGAAGAAAAGGAGGAAAAAAAAAAGACCAGTTACACAAATTTCGACGATAAGTAGGGGTTTCATCACATAATTATAAGAAAGACCGTACAGAGTTATAGTCTCAGAGTCGTTAGGGTTCTGAAATCTTTACCTTTCTCTGATTTTCTTTTCATCTGCCACAGGTCTCTATCTCAGCTGTGCTATTCACTCCTGCAGAGTAGATCTCACCTGATCATTTATATATATAAAGATAAATAATACAATTAATAATTATCGCTTAATAATTAATGATATATTAACTTACTTGAATAAGGAGAAAGAGCGGAAGAGAGCTCGATTTTCCAAGAAAGAAGAGGCCATAAAGTTAAAAAAGAAAATGAAAATTAAGATTTCAACTTTCAAGCTGTTACAACTTTCAAAGTCACGTTGAAGAGAGAGAAAGTGCGAGTGAAGTGAGGAAAGAAAAGTTTCACAGACCAGTTCAAAAAGATTAAAAAAATCACATTTAACATTTTTTTATCTTTCATAGTCACTTTTTATAAAATGTCTAAAAAAACACTTAATAAAAGTTAATAAAAAATTATACATATTTTTATAAATTTAATTTAAATATATCAATTATATATATACGCATATAATCATCATTGATATATTAAAAAAATAATTTTTTAATATTATTAATATAAAAATATATTTATATTATTCTTAAATTAATTAATAATATAAAATTTTTATAAATAATGTGAAAAAATTAAACTTCACTTTTATTATATATTTTTAAAATTATTATCTAATAATTTAAATATTAGTTTGAAAATTTAAAAATAATATTTTTATATTAAATGTGTTAAAAATATTATATTTTAATAAAAAATTATTCAATATATAATGCTTTATTCTCTCTACTTTTGTTTATAAGAAACAAAAGCTTAAATTATCAAAACCAAAAAAATAATTAATTTAGTTAAAATTTTTATAAAAATAAATTTTATTTTAAAAAATATTTATAATATTAAATAATATAGTTAGTATAATTATTATAAACATGTATTTAATAATAAAAAAAAGATATAAATTTTTTTATCACTTAATAGATCTTAAATATATTATATATTTTTATAATTAAGATAAAAAATATTTAATTTTATTTTTGTAAAAAAATTCAAAATAAATACTATTTTCATTTTGATTCTATTTAATGCACTGACATTCTTTCTTTTCTTCATATTTTCGGCCTCCTCGGATTTCGACTTCGGTTCCTATTGGTTCACATTTTCTCGGCATTTTCGGTTCTCATTGGCTCGGCATTTTCGGTTGCCATTGGTTATATTTTCTTATCATTTTCTGTTCCTATTAATCATATATTCTGATTTTATTCTGATTTCTTATTAATCTTCTTCTAATCATCTTGCTGCAATTGTTGGTGAATTTGTTGACATTTTAAGACACGATCCTGAAATAGAAATGTCACCCTATCTCTTTCTGCAAAGATTATGTTGTTATGTGTGCCAAACAAAACAGTGAAATGGCCTACATTCTAATAAATGATTGTCATGGTTTTTATTACTGCTTTTGTGTTGTGTAATAACCGTTACAATGCTTCCTACATGCTTTGGCGGGGCACACACAAATTACTCAAGCTCATTTATAGGAATAATATTAATTAAAAATTATTTATTAAAACAAAAAGAATTAATTTTTTCAGTTTTTTGTCATATTATTTTAAGTTAGCTTAATTAATTATAAAACTTGCATAATCTATATTTAGTTTTTGTGAATTTTTTTGTTAAGATATAATTTTTATTTTCTTATAAATTATTATATTCAATCGTTTAGTTAACCTGGTCTAAAAAAATTTAACATATACTATTTTAATGGATTACATTAATTAAATATTTTTAAACTAAAAATTTGTAAATAAAATAGATATATTTAAAAAAAAACTTAATAAATATATACATATATGAAACAACTAGTTTTGCACATTCTGCGTGCAATTATAATTGTAACAGTTTAAAATTAACATAATTTTAAAATTTTATAACTAATTTTATTATAGTATGATATTCATGTGATTTTTAAATTATTAAATAAAATATGTTTTAAATATTCTTAAGACTAAAATAATTTTAAAATTTTAAAAAATGTGGAAAGTATGATATTTTAAGAGTAAAATAAATTATAAATTTTTTTTAAGTTTAAAATAGTCAAAAGTAATATTGCACGTTTATTGATGTAAAATTAGGTATATAGTTTTAAAAATTTGTAGTATTAATAGCTTGTACTATCATTAATGTGTTCGATAAATTTTATTTTTTTAGAGTATGTTTAGAAGAAAGTTTTTGAAGAGGAAGAGAAGAGAAATTTTATTTTTAAATTTTAAATTAAAAAATTATATATTATTTATAATAACAAATATATTATTATATAAAATTGTTGTTAATATATTAATTTATATTTTTTATTTTTAAAAATATTAATTTTAAGTATATTTATTTAAAATATAAATTTATATCCTTTCCTCTCCTCCTCTTCAAAATTTTCTTTCTCAAATAACTCCTTAAAGAAACTTAAAATGATGTAATAAAAAATTTAAATAATTATTTTAAAAATTACTATTTTGATAAATTATTTTTTAATTAATGTTAATTTAGTAAATAAGTTATATTACATATAAAATTAGAGTATAAATTTTAAAAATAATCATATTTTATTTTATTGTGAACATAATAATAATAATAATAATATATAATAATAATAATATTATTATTATTATTAAAATGCATACAAGTAATTGAGACAAATTAATCCTAATTAAAAAAAATAGTTAATTTTTCACAAGACAACAAAATATTTAAGAGAAGAAATTTATTTAATGTTCAACTATTTCTTAAATACAATTATTTTATATGGAATATATTATAATATATATATATATATATATATATACAATTTTTACTTAAACAATAGTAATATTTTTATTTTCTTTTGAAATAGAGTTTATAATCCACGACTTTGGTTTAATAAAAATAAATAAATCTAAATATCCTTAAATAAAGTGTATATATAATGACCGATGAAGTCATCCTTGTAAATTAAGTTGTGAAATTTTGATAAAAAAAACTTAATTATGACAAAATTGGTTTGAATGTTTAAATATAATTATACAGTGTAAAATTAAACTATTTTAAAAAATGTCAACATTTGATATATAACAAGTAAAGGTAAAATGTATAATTATGTTAATTGCTGTCTTTTTTAAAAGAAAAAAATTAATTTTTATATTAAATAAATTAAATTTTAAAATAAATAAAATATTATATTAAAAAAATTATTCTTTTTATTGAAGTTGATGAATTTTTCTGTTATATACTTGAGAGAGAAAGTTGTTTGCTAAAATTTTTTAAATTATTATTTTATAATTTATCTTACATATATAATGTTAACATGAATTTGTATTTATTGTATGTATAGTGATTTATTTATTTAAATTAAATATGTAGTTTAAAAATATTAAATAAAAATATATAATTTTATTACAAATATTTAAAATGTTAAATATTTTGTTATGATTTGTTTAGATTAAAACTTATGATTTTTATATAGACATGATTCAATAATTTATTTATAAAGAGATTTAATGACTTATTAAAGATATATATTATTAAAATATTTAATAAATTAAATTAGACTTTTAAAAATATCATATTAAACTTAATAAAAATATTTATTATAAATAACAAGTTACATAAATAAGTTAAATTTATCATACAGTATTTAAGTCTATTTTTATCTTTAATTTTATTGTATCTAATATTAATTAAAAAAAAGTTTAGTGTTAACTGAAGAATGTAAAAGAAGTAGCATATTCATTTGATTGAATGTCTACTTAAAGAAGAAAATATATTAATTTAATATGATATAAATATATTGAAAAGACATGCTAAGGTATGAAAGTATATATAAAAAAAAAAAACGAAAGAGAAAAAATGTAATTAAAAAAAAAAAGTTGATATGTTAAATGACATGTTCAAATTGTATGACAATTTTAAGTTTTTTTTTTTTTTTTGCTATATTAAGGGTACAAGCCCAAGTTTAAGTTTTATTAATTCTATGGAATAAACAATTATTAATAATTCAAAAATTAAATGTTTCTCTGATACGGACTGAGTATGAAATTGGTCTTAGAAATTAAAATTAAACGTTGAAATTAACTCTTTTTGTTGTATATTTTAAATTTTAATTCCTAAATTTACTTTTCATTGTAAATAATTTTGTTAATTATTATTATATTTTTTATTACTATTATTATTTATTTTATATTTTAATTATTGATATTATTTTTATTATAACTAGACAGTCGACACAATTATCATTACCGTTATTTTTTTAATTCAAATCTGACATTACCTAAATCATTTATTACTTATTCTTATTAAATTTATCAAAATAAATTTGAAATTCAATTTAGAAATATAGATGTATAAGAATTATAATTTTATACCAATTTTAATTGATAATTAAATTTGAAATTATGATTCTAAACTATAATTCTAATTTTATATCTCAAATGGATCGTGAACGTGAATTTCAATGAAATCTTGGTTAAAATAAATTTGAAAAACCTCAACTTGTTTATTCTTAGATAATTAAATCAACAATCATAAGATAGAAGAAAAGAATAAAAACACAAGAAATTTATCATAATTTACCTAAAAGAATAACAAGAGTACTTATACCTAATTATTGACACATTAACAAATTTCACTGTATGAAAAATTTATACAATGTAAGAAAATCCTTCCTACTCAAGTGTTTTTGTTTTTTTTTTCTTTCTAAATTCAAAAGCTTAAACTTCTTTTTAAAATTCTTTTCAAACTTATTTTAGGCACAAAAAGATATATTCAAGTTATCATTCTAGATATTTAATGGAGAAATAGGACAACATAAAATAATGTCTTTCTTTTTCAAAGTAAATTATAGTTATAAAAAAGAATGAAATAATTAATTGCTAAAAAAAAGTTAGGTATGATTTTTCATAGTCGTCATTCATTATACTTATAACTATTTAACTTCTGAGGAGAGTTATTGATTTCGACAAAGATTTATCTTAAACATTTTTCAATGTTGGAATATGCAACGCATGTAGTTAGTATTCTAGGTCTCTCTACACATAAAAGTTGTTTTAAATCTTAGAAATTGTTAAAGTCCATGTCAAACATTGTACATGTAATTTATTGTTTGGTTTAAAGTTCGAGAGAATTACCATAGAATTAGCGTTGTAAGTGTGTCATTTAACTAAAAAAATTATCAAACGTTTAGACTTATATATAGATGATTTTATATTATAAAATG